GCAGAGAGAAGATGAACCCGGATATGCTCCCAGCCAGAGCTCCAGCGAAAAATCCGAGCAGCCACCCTCCTAGCTTCTTCTTCTTGTCCTTCTTATGCTTGTGATTTGGTGTTGGAGATGGACCTGGAGCATTAGAATAGGGTGCAAGAGCTGCACCTGAAGTATTCTTGCGGCTTTTTGTGCTCGCATTCTCAGCCAAGATGTAACGTTTTGGCACATCAGATGCTGAAACCTCGACCCTTTTCATTGTAGGCACTGAGCCTTCAAGGAGTTCATTTCCAGCAAAGTTGAAGAACCAAAGATTGCGAAAGGAACGAAGGGAAGCTGGGATTTTCCCGGAGAAGAAATTGTCAGCAATGGAAAGTTTTTCCAGGTTGGGAAAAAGCTTGAGGAAGCTCAAGTTCCCGGAAAACTTGTTGGACGAGAGGTCGAGGATTCGAAGGCGAACGAGCTTGGACAACTGGGCTGGAACTTCCCCGGAGAACTGGTTGTTTCCGAGGTTCAGAATCTCAAGTTTCCGGCAGTCAGCGATTTGAGACGGGATTTGGTCAACGAGGCTGTTGTCTGCAAGAGAGATCTCTTTGAGCTCGGAGAGCCGCCCAATTGCCGGAGGCAGAAACCCGTGAAGCCGCTGGGATTGAAAGACCAGCCTGGTGATTTTGAGGACGTAAGTGTTGTTGTTTGAGAGCCTTCGCTCACAGAAAACACCAGGGGTGTTGCATGGTGTTGTTTGAGGTTGACTTATTTGGAAGCCCAAGTTTTTTCGGATGATGGAGAGGGCTTGGAGATCTGAAGGGTCGAGATTGAGCCTTGCATGGATGAGGAGGAGGAGGGAAAGGAAGGTGAGGACGCAGAGGTGGGCTTTGCCTGAGAAGGCTTCCATTTTTTGGCCGGAAAAGCTGTGTTTGAAGTTTGAACTAATGCTAGTTCATACCCGTGTTGGTTGGCTTGGTTGTTTGTTTTTTTGGTTCTTTATAGCCGGAGGCTGTGGAATTATGAATGGTATGTGGAGCCCATTCACAGTAAATCCAAGTCTCAAATCAGACAAACCTACTCTACTTTTGTAATATAATTAAATTAATCATCACATTTCTAACCATATTTAACTTAAATTAAACTAGTTTAATAACGAGTCTTTGAAAAAATGACATAAGAGCGTCCCTTCTGAGACCTCTGATAAAATTGAAACGATACAGAGAAAAAATTGAAACGATACAGAGAAAAAATAAAATAAGAGTAAAAGTGATAACCAACCCAAACTGAGTTACCATTAATCTGCTTTTCTTGATCTCTTATTGTAAATTCCATCATTTACATTACATGGTATCTTGTGTATGCATGATCTTTAGTTGTTGTTTGTAAAAATCTAAATCCCTAAGGTGTTTTTTCTTCCAAAATAATTAAAATAAAATTATCATTGTTCCATGTGAATTAGTACTAACTATTAGTTCTTCTTCCGGTTACATGGAATGCCATAGTCAAACAGAGAGGAGAATATGGCCTTGAAAGTAGGGTTAAGTGCTGACCACCCTTGGAGTTAATGGCCTCACAATACTAACTTCATAAATTGATTGAAGAGGTAAATATGACTCAACTCATAAATTAGGACATTTAGGAGGGTTAACTAGTATTGTTTTGTTCGATACAAGCAATATTAGGAGATGATGAATCGAATATAGAACTGCAAGTGTATGGATGAACACTTTTAGTCTTAGCTATGTAAACCCTATTCATCTTCCGCATGAAGAAACGTTTAACTCATGATTTTTTTTTTATAAAAAAAAAAAAAAAAAAAAAAACACAAGATTCACAATTGAATTGGTCTTGGAGCGCCATTATACACGCTAACAAGTGAATGCCAAATGGATGCATAGTCTGCAAACTCAATTCTAATTCTTATTCCCCCCCTCATCGGGCTAAATTAATTAGCTTGACATGGAAACTTCCCATAGTCTTTAGTCTTCCGGTCATCGCCTCTCAAATCACCATCGGTCAAGTCAACGGAAAAAGCAAGGCAAGTCTTTGGGAAATATCTGGCCGTTGGATCAAATATTTTAAATACATATTTGATATTGACCCGAAAAGGATTGAGATTAAAGATTCCCACCAGCTTCATTGGTGGGCCAGAGATTGCTCACAAAAGTCACCACTTGCCCAGTCGCCAAGCCTCTCCCATTATTTCCGTATTTGTCATCACTCCGTGTTGAATTTCAAGGAAAATGTTGCTTAACTGTTTTTATCCTCTTATTTCAGATCTGCGGGCTCCAAGAAAATGAAGCACAAGAAGAAATTAAGGTCGGTTTTTGATTATGTCTATCGATACAAATATGTTTCACCTACCAGTCTCTAGTGATGAAGTTTGGAAAAATAGTATTATTGCCCGCTCGATAACAATTTTAATTTTAGTTTTTAGTTTTCATTTTTTGTACTAGAGTATAGAAGAAAATGAGAATGATGATGAGATTGAGAGATGATGAGAGGGACAAATAACAAAAGTGAAAACAAAAACTTGAAAGTAAAAACAATTTCAAATAGATTTTAGTTTTCATTTTTGTTACTTCTTCCTCCCATCTCATCTTCCCTCTCGTTCCCATCTTTACTCTCATTCGCACTTTCATTCTCTCTCTTTTTTACTCTATACTCTAGCACAAAAAATGAAAACTAAAAACTAAAATTGAAATAGTTATCAAATAGGCCCTAAAGCTCTTCTTATAAGCTCTTCTTATAATTTTATAGACCGAAATCTCTCTTTTCTTTTAACTATTCTGTCAATATCACCTTAAAATTTATAGAAAATTCGGTATAAGTCCAATTCTTATGACATAATTTGGGTGCAATCCACACATTTGTTGTTAGTAATTCAAGTCCTCTGACTTTTGTGCCATGTAGGATTACTTACCTTTCTTTAATTTCTAAGGTTTATATTATATTTTCTTAATTTTTTAATTTATGTTGTGCTTCCAATTTTGCCCCTAAGATAGAAATCAGGTAACCTAAAAGGCAGCAAAATATCAAAAATCGCGTTAAACAATCCTCATATGCCAAGAATAGAAAGAATCGCAAAAATCATATCTTTCACAATCAATTATGGTCATGTCAAGCCAATTTTTGCAGATTTCATGCTTCTTAATTGCCGAGGGTTTTGGGTTTCATTTTAGAGTTGAATTTGCCTTTCGTCTTCTTCAATTGCAGCCTATGGAATTCGCCGTCGTTTGGGGATTCTCACCTTACTTCTCCATCAATTGCAGTGCCTGTGTTCCAGGTACACTATTAGAGGTTACCTGTAGCTTTGGAGTTATGTTGCCAAAGATGCAATTAGCAAGGTTAAAATCATGGATGACTTCTATGTACTAGCCATAGCTGTTGGACTCGGCTAACCTGTTGCTTATTTCATATCAGCACGATTATTTAGATATCTATGGGTCAAGTTCCCTTTTTATACATATGACTTATGTAATGAGAAGTCTGCTATTTGTATTGCAGATTAATCTTGACTAAAAGCAACTAAAAACCCAGCTGGAACAGCAGAAGTCCCCTCCTAGCTATGTCATTTGGTGATACAGTGTTGGATGCATTGTATGTTATAGGTTATTTATCAAATTCATAAAACTTTCTAAATGTAGAAGCTTTACTGAAGAGGTGATCGTGGTTGCGTGAATTCATTTGCTATTTTTGGCTAGAGATATGATTTGTACCGGCCCAAATGTTTTTTGTGCAAATGTCATGATCTGTACATATATATTGCATTTAATTTTTTCTCTCTCCCTCCTTCATGTTAATAACTTAAGATTATACTTGTGAGTTTTACAGTCATGTTCTTGTTTTGTCCAAGCAATTATGTAAATCTTCATTTGTGCCTTCATTATCACAGGTATATGCCAAACTTATGAGAAGATAATCCCAATTAATGTGTCAAGTACCTGTGTCGTAGGTACACGGTGGGAGGTTACCTGTAGGCTAGGTTCCATATCAAGTCGTTGTGTAAAGTACTTGTGCCATAGGTACGCCGAATGAGAGAATTTACCTAGGATACATGAACTTCAATTGACGCCACCGTTTCTGATAATCCAAAAAATTTGGGTTATTCCATATGTAATCGTGAATTATTAGAAGGAACCCACAAATCTTCCCATTAAGGAACCAAAAAATCAGTGAAAATTGGAAAAGATGGAGCATGACTTTTGGGATTTCTGCAATTTGGGGAATCTGAGATATGCGATTTGGATCAACCTCCTTTACTTTTCATTTGTATATAATGGCAGTAGTTGTAAATAAATTAAAATTTGTGGCCACACTATTTGCTTAGGTAGCTGCACGACTGGGCTTTAGGACTGGAATTAATAGGTAATAATTATTGTCCTACAATCAAACTGTATTCTTGAAATTGGACCTATATCTAAGAGCCCCTAAAATTTATAATGCATTGTGTGATTGGGCGGAATATTTTGTTGAATGCTATTGCAACTTATATTGCTGTCTCTTTCGTACAACTTCCCTTAGAACACGAACCCATGTCGTATAAAGTCATAAAAAAGAAAAGTAGACCAAAATGAATTAACAAGTGAACAAATACATAAAACCTTAACAACGTGCACCCTGCACTCTCCTAATCAATAATCAAAATCTAATCAGGCTCTAAGTTATAGAAGCTGAAGGAGTAACATCTTGAATTGCAGTTGCACCAGTATGCTGCTGGTTATCAGTGTTATTGCTAGACTGTGAAGTAGAAGCTACTATTGAAATTCAGAGGACCAAACCAGCACAATTATTTATAACAGATCTTAGATTTCCATATGATTTTTTCACAATGCATACGCATGTCAATCGTTACAGCAGCGGTACATGACCAACTTCTCCATCTCGCGGTCACGTTGTTTGCAGATCAATCTGTCACATGAAGGACTAATTTAGTGCAGTGATGTGGGGTGCAGATCCCATATGGTTTTTTCAAATCAAAACAGAAGATGATAAACCCCATATCATGCTGAACAAAATATATTTCAATCGTGACAGCAGCGGTAGATGATGAACTTCTCCATTTCACGGCCACACTCCGAGCACTCCACTCTGTCTGGAATGTCTGGACCGAACCCTGGAATGATCAAACGGATGCAGTGGTGCGGCGTGTGGCGCTGTATCTGTTCATCTTTGAGTGTAGGCACGAAGCCTGATTCAGCAGCTTTATTTTTCCAGGCTTCAAATTCGTCCAAGGTGTGCAGAAGTGAGCTGTCCATTGGCTCTGGCCGTCTCATTTGAGCCTCTCCACACCATAACCCATCCTTGGTCACTTCCATCATAGCTCAGCAAAGTCATGACCTCCTTCAGTATCTCATCATTCTCTACAGTCTTGTGGTGTTTCGCCTTGGAGCACCGCATGCTATCCATTCGGGACCAAAAGAACCAATTGGATGTGTAATCAGGCCAGAACCGGCTGAGGTTCTCTGTTTCAATGACTTTGTTCACTTTCCTGATCCGCTCCCTGGTTGCTGTACTTCTTCCTACATAAAGCAGTTCTAAGGAGATACCAGCAAGTCCTGCAACAACTTTTGCTCTCACCGTGAACTTCCGAATCCATTCCAAATCATCACCTCCATACAAGCATATATATTTCCCTTTCTCTATCTGATAAAGCAAAAAAGTTCCGACATTATCTTTAGTTCTTCATGAATTTTGACTTAATAAATGGATACATATGAATGTACGAAAATGTTATCTAACTTAAGTACTCTCGATTGAATGTAATGTACGGTTCAGATTCACAGTCTGTCAACATATTATGCCGAAGTTTCTAGCACTTACCCAGTCCAGTATGATTGGATCAATGCCATTGGCAACGAGCTGGAGTCTCCAGCTCTCTGCATTCCACAGTACCTGCTCTTTCTCATCAGTGAAAGGGAAAGCCACGTTGCCCCATACCCACAGCATGTGGACAGCATTCAGGGAGGACACCCTTCCTTGTGGATCCAAGGACACTATAATCATCTTCTTGTCGAAATGCCAATCGTTTCTGATGAACTTGATCACCGGTGGCTCAATTATTAGAGGGTCGTGCACCGCGTACCACGGCATCTTTGACTTTAGTTCCTCAAATCTAAACCGTTTTGCTTCATCCCAAGTGGTTGCGTCCACAACGGGGAGCCAAACAATCTCATACTCAACTCCTGCCCTGTTCTGCCGTTCTTTATAGATGTGATCAAGAATCACAATCTCTTCATTGCTCAGACTAAGATCGGATATCAAGAGTAACACTTGCCTCCCCCTTAGCCTTTCAAGATTGAACTTTTGGTGCCAATCGAAATGATGTTAAGTAATGAATCAGTTTTAGGAAAAAGGAATATGAAGAAGTCAGGGAAATGCAGAGAAGAAGATATGAATAATACCCTTGACTTGCTTGTACCAATTTCGAGTGGTCGTGTATCAGCCTTCTGTGAAATCAGTGCCTGTAAATACTTGACATTGTCCAGGTCCTGGTGGGGGCCTTGGAAAAGGCATATCAGATTTTTATAATATTCCTCATGTCGCATCTTCTCTGCATCCCATGGTGAATTTCGTTCAGCATTTTATCAAATGTAAGGTGTACTTTGAAAGGAAATGTCAAGAGAAGAACTTGTTTTTGATGATCTTAATTGAAAAATTGTCATCAGCAAATGGTACATTCATGTAGCATGCAGGTGTGTAGTTCTAAAGTTGAAAATCCAAGGGCTCACCGATATATGGATGATATTTATCAAGCAAATCAGCCAAGTTTGTTAGTTCCCATGGGATGTCGTCTTCATTTTCATAAAAGTGGCTTGGTAGTTCCCCTGAGTACTCCTCGGTTGATTTGGTGTACCTAAAATGAGCAGGACAGAGGTGCTGTTAGTTTAGGCAGATTTTGAAATGATGAATTGGATGCATGCATCATGGTTTCCAAATTCCAAAAGGGTAGCAGCTGCTTGCTTACTCATCTCTGCTGCGTTGAGTGAGGTCGGAGATATGAAAGGCACAAGCCAGTATGCCTCGAAGGACAAGACACACAGCGAGAAGAATGTCATTTGACAGAGGAGGTGTGTCTTCTGAAATGTAGTTGGACTGGATCAGCTCAACGTACTCGACGAAGCACTTGGTAACTTTGATGATGGACTCGGTAATGTTGTCAATGGCCTTAAGTTGAGATTTCACTGATAGTTGCTTCAGGATGGCCACATACTTGACTGATGGGTTCTTAATGCGAAGCTGAGCCATAAGCCGGAATTCTCCATTATACACAGCAAAAGCAGCTAGAGTTAGCACCACTTTTGTTTCCCATGTATAGCACTTAAGGGTCCTGATTAACTCCATCATACTCGCATCCAAATCACCGCCACCTGAGCATGGCAACTTAGCTGCCAGAACATGGACACACTGTGCTTACTGATTTGTAGATTAATTGCATAAATGATTTACTTAATAGAACGAAGAACACACAATGTTAGATTGACCATATATAGAAGATAATAATGAGGAAGAGATGAAAATGCAGCTTTATTCGGAAATCGAAGAATTGAACATAGAAATCTGGTTAACAGTGATCACAAGGGCATTAACCCAAAACGACAGTAATAGAATACACGTATATATATTATATATAATTACAATTGAGATGGAATTCAATGAATCTCCGAATATATCTTTTGTATGGGATAACACAATCCTAGGAGCAAGTCATCTAAAATGGTCAAGTCCTGCGCTGTATCTGCATAATCTCCAATACCACCCTGCACCAGAAGTAAAGCAACTTTGTGACCAAAATAAAACTATAGTACTATAATGATTGATTATAATGCAATTCTGTATTTTGTATATGGAACTAGGCTTAATTAAGTATTTAATTAGCACAGCTAAAGCAAATGAGATCAGTAGAGAATAAATTAATACAATTACAAGGCCATCAGTGTCCTGATGAGTAAGAGTTCGATGAAATATTTCATCAACGGGTTGAAGAATTGGTTTGACATCGACAATGTAGAATTCGGATGGAGCGTGAATGGCCTGTATTCGCCTCACCCACAGCCCTAAGGTGGTCATAATTTTTGAACTTCCAAATGCCTAGGAGGAGCTAGAGTGGGAAACTAACTTGGTTTAGTTTTTGAGTGGTTTCCATAGTAACCCTTATATATAATTAATGACATGGAGATGAATTTAAAGCCCTGCGAACAAGTATATAACTTCCTTGCTAGCAACAAGTTCTCAAATTAAAGTTAAAAAGCCTAGATATATATGCACTTTGTAATCATTTGTCAATTATTCCATCTGCTTACTTTCTTACTGGTGTGAATCATATGATCAATATTTTAAATTCCTTCATAAGTAAACTGTAAGCGTCGAGTCCCAAACCCTTATATAAATCCTCTACTTATGTTTTCGTTCTTACATCTTTGTGATTGTGTTTAAAAATCATTTCAGTTTGAGTTTGATTAGGCATTTTGGATTTAAAGAAGTAGTATTTATCAATATTCTAAGGGACATTCTCCAATAAAGTTAAGGATTGGTTACGTACTTCTAATCCCGGCCCTTGGATTGCATCTAAGAGGATACCAACACATTTAATGAATGCAATCCAATGGCCAAGATTAGAAGTATGTAACCAATCCTGAACTTCTCCCATATTCTAATGCATACAACATATGTGTATGTTATTAATTATGAGGAAACTCTCTACTTTTAGAAATTCAGAGGATCAAATTTATTGTTATTTTGACAAAACATAATAGAAGTAAATGCTCTTAACCTCTTGAGCTACAAACTCCTATCTGAGTGCTAGAAATCTTAAATGTGGTACTCTTGTATATGGAAAATCAGTTTGACTTTGTACTTACTTATATTATAGCCATAACAAGCAATGAAAAGCTATAGAAACAGAGCAACGAAAACATGAAGAAGACTGTTATTTCATTGCTTTTCTGAATCGAATGAATTGTACATCAGTAATCTGATTTTATATGTAACAGAAAGCAACTTTCTTACAGAATTGGTTCAGACAATCTTATTTCTATTTACAACTCCAACTAATTCTAAACAGCTGTTAACAGAATTACTCCTTTGCAAACTTCCTTGGAGATGCTCTTATCCTTGAGGAGGCTCAATGCTTCTTCGCTTTCTTGCGCGACGAAATGCTGTTTGTATGGTTATAACTGCAAATAATTGCTTCAACTGCAGCCTTTGAGAGTCGGTCAAATTCTCGAGATTAATTCCCTTGGTAAATTGCCACCGGAAATATTTGGGGTTAACATGATTCTTTAAGTCCTCAGCTGTGAGAGTAAATGCTTCAACTCTTGTTTTGGACCGAACATTTTTATCCGAGATGGGTAATTCAGTGGAGGGTGGAAATTTTGATGCCCAAGTTATAAGTTCTTCTCCGTAAAAATCACCTTTCTCAATACACTTAGGTTTTGAGGGGTGGTTTTTCCCTCCACTGCTAGTTGTGTAGGTCCGAACAGTCCCTTGCGTGATCAAGAGTAACATTTCAAGGGGCTCCCCCTCTCGAATGATAAAGCTGTCCTTAGCATAGATCATTGGGTTAAAATACTCAAAGATTTCTTTCAACTCATCCCGCCCTTGGATCTCTTGAAGCTTCGGAATATATATATATATATATATATATATCACGAGTTTAATTACATGTAACGAGTTATTTTATAAGTCATATAAAAAAAGAATGACAAGAGGGTATGTCGTATGACTTACTTTCCTTAGCGTTGCCAAGCAAAGACAGCACTTGACATAGCTTAAATATTCCGGGGGAAGAGCATAGAGTATCTCCACATGACCATTTTTGTTTTGCTCAAATAGTCGCTGTACATTTTCCATGATCCTTGCTTTCATGGTCTTAGGCAAGCCATTTTCAGATAACCACAATTCTACCTCAAGACCTTTCAATTTCATCTTCCGTCTAAGCTTTTCTGATGTTGTGGTTGACAACTGCATATATGTCTGCTCCACACAATAAGTTTTTTCATCAAATTTTGATCATTTGAAGGAAATTAAACCAAAAGCTGAGATCCCAGGAAACCTATATATATACACATGTATAGATACTACTGAAAACGAAAAAAAAAATAAATAAAAATAAAAATTTAAGGCTAACTTAAGCCTAATTAACGAAACAAATTTATATATTCAGAATGTACTAACCTGTAAATTTCCAATGAGATATAAAAATAGTAGGAGACCAATTATAGAAATAAAAACTGCAAATAGGTTTTCCCATGCGTAGGTGCTAGTCTCAAGGTTTTGCCCAAAAGAACTGCAGTAATGAAATGATGAAACTTTTCAGAATAAGATAACCTATATATATGTAAAGGATATTGTATTTTAATATTATCTAAACTACAAGAAGGGGCATTCGAACTCGGGTGCAAAGAAGGGAGCACATCCGTTTTAGTAAACTTGGCTAAGCACGTATGTATGCAAAGCAACAAATTTGTTTATGACGTATCTCAGTAAAATTCATTTTTTCTGCAATTATTGTAATACTATTCACATGCAAGAATTAAGATTATATATATTAAACCGATAATTATGCGTACAAACCTCAGATTAAGTAGACCCCACCAAAAGCAATACAAAAACTTCTCTGCAAAATCTGTTGACTGTAACACCCCAGACTGAATGGCGTCTTTAAATATACCAAAATCGAAAAAAGTTGGATGTGATGGCTTTATAGGGCATAAATCATTTAAAACTCTGATATTTCTCGGAGAAGGGTCGTCACAGCTAAAAGTTTTAGGCTCACATCCTTTTTCACTTCTGCATGCATATTGCCAACAAACTGTCTCTCGTTGAATAGCAAAAAAATACCAAAGGGCTCCGATTACCTATAATACCAAAAAAGTTAGTCAATGAATATTGGAGCTGAGAGAAAACTACATTTGAAAGATATTTAAACTAAAAATTTAACTCCATTTTATTTCAATTTTTTGAGCTTTTAAAATTAATTAAGATAATATTGAAACTTACATGACTGGCAAGAATGTACAAGAAGAAATTGAAAAAACTTTTGACTCATGTGCCCAGCTTTTTAGTAGCCTTCTTACGTTCATGACACAATCGGTAGATGGGAAGAACTCGTGGCACATATTGCAACACAAGAAGAAAATTTAGAAACTTCATTGTTTTCGATGATCTTGAGCCCTTCATTTTTGAAAATATGGAAAGTACTACCTGGAAATAAATAAGGGGGACCATTAAGGCAATTGTTGAATCTAATTATTGTATGACAAATGTTTGATTAATGAGTTTGAGAGTTAAAACCTAAAATCTAAGCTCGCTCTAAAGTAATCAACCATGACAAGTAGAGAAATTGGGAAATAAATCTACTTCACATATAAAACTAAATCTTACCTGTGGGGCGGGTAGAACAGCTAAAATGTCAAGTAGGACGTAAGATTGCAAAATCCTCTTAGCTTTTGCCAGAACATTCATACTCATGGATTTACTTCTTCTCAAAGGAACTGCCTCCTCTGCTTGTGTTGCCCTAGCTTTAGGTCTAGCTAAAATTCGATGCATCAGGTCGGCAATGTAGAAGAGATCTGTTAACGATCGTAAAGCAAAGGATATTGCCTTCAACCTTTTGTCCAATTTGAGGCACTTCCTATCCTCCTCAACGATAGGGATGTAAAAGAACAAAGGATCGAGTAAGACAGCCAACACACATGATACTACAAATATGTTGTTCCACCATTCTTGAAGGAATGACTTTGGTTCATCAGGATATTCGATGACAGATTTAAAAAACGGAACTAGTGCTATTCTCCGATGCTGGATAGGTCTTTGTTTGATCGAATGTTGTTCACTACTGAAAAAAGACAAAGCAAATAATGTATTGCTCCCACTAGGTAGAAGAAACATGAAAAAATCGTGATTGAGGGGTTTTCTCTTATGTAACTATATGTCACTCAATGAGAGAGATAAACACATAAATGCCATAGAATCATCTCATAAAAGTTTTTCTCGTGAAGAAAATAGTTGCACTAGGACCACCCTTATTCAAGAGTTTCATGTTGTGAGTAGGCAATTCAGGAATCTTTTTAATTTTTTTATGAATTCTTTCTTACAAAACAAAAAAAGGGATATGGTATAGCGCAATGTACATAGTGAACGTTATGGATAAAATCCTAACCTGGCAGTGGCAGGTTTCTCTTCCACAACTAAACGTGTTTCTTCTTTCCTATTAGCCATGACTTAATCACTCAAGCCTTGTTTATGATGCACCTAAGGAGCTTTTTAAAATCTCACAAAGTTCTGAATGTGGAACCCTGCCTGTAAAAATGGAGAACTGAAAGTTAGAATATTTATATATTGGACCAACCTGGTTGCTTTCATTTAAGCACTCTTAGTATGCCTTCATGAAGATGTAGCCATTTTCTTTAATGAGCCCTTAACATCTAAACAAATCAAAACACAGAACTAGTGAGTGTTATACTACTTAAATTAAAATACAAGATGTATGAACGAAGATCTGGCCAATTATAAAAGTGAAGCTTGCACAACAGTAAGTAGAGCATACATACTGCGTAAACACGATGATGAATCTCTTTATAGGAATAAGGGTACATTGCGCCCGTGACCCCGAAGAAGTCTCTCCCCCTTCCCATTTTGGACTGAGGATGGTATACCTTTTCTTATAGGCATCTAAGCCTTACCCATAATAAGCGATGAAGATGGTATCAAATTTAAAGCCCTGTGAACAAGTACATACCTTGCTTGCTTGCAAGAAGTTCTCTAGTTAAAGTTAAAGCCAGGGATGCATTTTGTAATGATTAGTTTCTTTTTTGAACTAAGGCATATATCCCTCGTCATGTCATTTTGACAGCTGCTTACTTTTTAACCTGTATGAAACACATGCATGATCTATTTTTTAACTTCCGTTCATGATCAAGAAAGGAATTATGACGCAACTAGGCCATGCATAAAATCCTTGCGTAAGCAACATGTGTGATGGGTGAAATAGGATCCTCTACTATAGCCAATTAGGAAGGCTATCACGTTGACTGCATGTAATGTTTTTGTCTTCATTGCAGCCATTGTAATTATGAAGCTTAATATGGAAGATCAGATTGACTTGTACTTGGCAAGCAATGAAAAGCTATAGAAACAGAGGAACCGAGAGATGAAGAAGAAGAATCTTTATTTCATTGCTTTTCTGAACAGAATGAATTGCACATTTTTATATGTAAGAGAAACTCATCTTTCTTACAGAATTGGGACAGCTGACATGGACCGAGTTTTCATTTGCAAGGCTGCAGGCTTCTCCGCTCTCTTGCGGCGACGAAATGCTCTTTGTGAGTTTATAACTGCCAATTCTTTCAACTGCAGCATCTGAGAGTCAGTCAAATTGTTGAGATCGATTCCCTTGGTAAATTGCCACCAGAAATATCTAAGGAGCACATGATTCTTTAAGTCCTCGGCCGTGAGAGCAAATGCTTCAACTCTTGTAATGGACCTAACATTTTTATCCGAGATGGGTAACTCAGTGGAGGGGGGAAATTTTGATGCCCAACTTATCAGTTCTTCTCCATAATAATCACCTTGCTTAATATGCTTAGGTGTTGTGGGATCCTTTTTTCCTCCGTTACTAGTTGTGTAGCTGCGAACAGTCCCTTGCGTGACCAAGAGTATCATATCAAGGTGCTCGCCCTCTCGAATAATAAAACTGTCCTTAGCATAGATCACTGGCTTAAAATGCTCACAGATTCCTTTCAACTCTTCTAATCCTTCGATGTCTTTAAGCTTCGGAACCTATATATGTAACGAGTTTACACTTAACGAGTTATTCCTCCTTACAAGTCATAGTATACACCAGAAACGATTGCTCATCAAACCAAAAAGTATATAGAAAGAAAAGAGAAGTCACAGGGAAGTACATATGTAACTTACTTTCCTTAGCGTAGCCAAGCAGAGACAGCGCTTGACATAGCTTAAATAGTCCGGGGGAAGAACAGAGAGGATCTCCACATGAACATTTTTGTTTTCTTCAAGTTTTCGATGTACATTTTCCATGATCCGTGTCTTCATTGTGTTAGGGAAGCCATGTTCAGATAACCACAATTCTACCTCAAGACCTTTCATTTTCATCTTCCGTCTAAGCTTTTCTGACGTTGTGGTTGACAACTGCATATATGTCTGCTCTACACAATAAATTTGTTCATCACATTTTGATCATAAAACCCCACATAAACTACTCATTTATGATCACTTGAAGGAAATTAAACCAGAGTCTGAGATCCCAGGAAACCTAAACAATGTATATACATGTATAGATTATAGATACTACTGAGAAAGAAAAAAGAAAAAAGAAAAATAAGGCTAATTAAAGAAACAAATTTATATATTCAGTACATATACTAACCTGTAAATTCCCAATGAGATATAAAAATAGTAGGAGACCAATTATAGAAATAAAAACTGCAAATAGGTTTTCCCATGCGTAGGTGCTAGTCTGGAGGTTTTGACCAAGAGAACTGCAGTAATGAAATGATCAAACTTTTTAGAATAAGATAACATATATATAATTTTTTATTTATTTATACAAACAATATTGTACTTTAATCTAATCTAAACTATGGGGAGGGGGGATTCGAACTCGGGTGCAGAGAGGGAGCACATCCGCTTTAGCAAACTTGGCTAAACCCATATGTATGCAAGATAACATATTTGTTCATGACATTCTTTCAGAAATCAGAATTATTTGTTAATTTTCGATGACTTTCAGTTGAGTGTAAAATCTTTTTTCTCTTTAATTACTACTCAAATGCAAGAATTAAGATTATATCAAACGATAATTATGCGTACAAACCTCAGATTTAGGAGACCCCACCAAAAGCAATACAAAAACTTCTCTGGAAAATCTGTCGACTGTAACACGCCAGACTGAATTGCATGTTTAAATATACCAAAATCGAAAAAAGTTGCGTTTGATGGCTTTATAGGACATAAATCATTTAAAACTGTGATATTTCTGGGTGAAAGGTCATCACATTCACAGCTAAAAGTATTAGGTTCACATCCTTTTTCACTTCGACAGGCATATTGCCAACAAACTGTCTCTCGTTGAATTGCAAAAAAATACCAAAGAGCTCCGATTACCTATAAGACCAAAAAAGTTAGTCAATGATTATTGGATTTGGAGTTGAGAGAAAACTACATTTGAATTGAAAGATACTTAAACAAAAAATGTAACTTCAAATTTTTTTTTTCAACTTTTTGAGCATTTAAAATTAATTAAGATAATATTAAAACTTACATGACTGGCAAGGATGTACAAGAAGAAATTGAAAAAACTTTTGACCCATGTGCCCGGCTTTTTAGCAGCCTTCTTACGTTCATGACACAATCGGTAGATGGGAAGAACTCGTGGCAGATATTGCAACACAACAAGAAAATTTAGAAACTTCATTGTTTTCAATGATCTTGAGCCCCTCATTTTTGAAAAGATGGAAAGTACTACCTGGAAATAAATAAGGGGGACCATTAAGGCAATTGTTAAATCTAATTATTGTATGACAAATGTTTGATTAATGAGTATGAGAGTTAAAACCTAAAATCTAAGCTCATACGGCTCTAAAGTAATCAACCATGACAAATAGAGAAATTGGGAAATAAATCTACCTCACATATAAAACTAAATCTTACCTGTGGGACGGGTAGAACAGCTAAAATGTCAAGTAGGATGTAAGATTGCAAAATCCTCTTAGCTTTTGCCAGAACATTCATACTCATGGATTTACTTCTTTTCAAAGGAACTGCCTCCTCTGCTTTTGTTGTCCTAGCTTTAGGTCTAGCTAAAATTCGATGCATCAAGTCGGCAATGTAGAAGAGATCTGTTAACGATCGTAAAGCAAAGGATATTGCCTTCAACCTTTTGTCCAATTTGAGGCACTTCCTATCCTCCTCAACGATAGGGATGTAAAAGAACAAAGGATCGAGTAAGACAGCCAACACACATGATACTACAAATATGGTGTTCCACCATTCTTGAAGGAATGACTTTGGTTGATCAGGAGTTTTATCAGTATTGGTACTACTATGTCCTTCATCTTCGATGGCAGATTTCGAAAACGGAAGTGCTTTTCTCCAATGCTGGATAGTTCTTTGTTGGATCGAATGTTGTTCACCCCTGAAAAAAGACAGCAAATAATGTATTGCTCCCACTAGGTAGAATAAACATGAAAAAATCGTCATTGAGGCTTTTCTCTTATGTAACTATATGTTGCTCAATGAGAGAGAGAGATACATAAATGTCATGGAATCGTCCCATAAAAGTTTTTCTCGTGAAGAGAAGAGTTGCACTAGGACTGCCCGTATTCAAGAGTTTCATGTTGTTAGTAGGCAAATCAGGTACAAAACGAAAAAGGGATATGGTATAGCGCACTGCACATTGTGAACGTTATGGATAAAATCCTGGAATATGTTTACAGTGTGATGGTTTAAAGTTAAATAAACTAACCTGGCAGTGGCAGCTTTCTCTTCCACAACTAAACGTGTTTCTTCTTTCCCATTCGCCATAACTCAACCGCTCAAGCTTGTTTATGATGCAACTAAGGAGCTTTTCAAAAATCCCACAAAGTTCTGAATGTTGAACCCTCCCTGCAAAAATGGACAACTGAAAGTTATAATATTTATATTGGAACCTGGCAGCTTTCATTTAAGCACTCTTAATTACTACAACGGCAAGTAGAGCCTACTACGTAAGCACGATGACGAATTTCTTTATAGGAACATAGGTGCATTAATGCTATGCACCCCGTGCATTAATGCACCCATGACATGGAGATGGTATCAAATTTAAAGCCCTGTGTACGAACAAGTTCATATACCTTGCTTTCTTGCAAGTTGATGCTAGGTATTCGTTGTGTAATTATTATTTTTTTTTAAAACTAGGGCATATATCCCTCACCATGTAACTTTGATAGTAATTTTTCCAGCTGCTTACTTTTTTTACCAGTGTGAAACACATGATCAACTGTTTAAATTCCCTCTCATAAGACTACAAGAAAAAGGGTCAGTAAGAGCACCTTTAAGAGCATCTCCAACCGATATGTCAAACGTGCTACATAGACATTTAACAACTAAAAATGACATCTCACATCACTCCAACCGATATGTCAAAGCTGATGTGGAATGAAGGCTGGAGGTTGAGATGTTATTTTTGACATTCCAAAAGCAAGATGTCAAATAAATATTTTATTATTTTTTCTTTTCTTTTCTTTTTAATTAAAAATGAATCACCACTAAAATGTAATAAAATAATAATTTAATTTGACATATCGGGTGGAGTGTAAAGCTGTGTAAGATGTCAAATTGCCATATCAGCCATCAAATTTAAATTTGATGTTTGATATTTGACATTTCCCTTGGAGATGCTCTAAGGGAGATGTCAAATACCAAACATCAAATATAAATTTGATGGCGGATGTGGCAATTTGACATTTTAGAGCATCTCCAACCGATATGTCAAACGTGCCACATAGACATTTAACAACTAAAAATGACATCTCACATCACTCCAATCGATATGTCAAAGCTGATGTGGAATGAAGGCTGGAGGTTGAGATGTTATTTTTGACATCCCAAAAGCAAGATGTCAAATGAATTTTTCTTTTCTTTTCTTTTTAATTAAAAATGAATCAACACTAAAATGTAATAAAATAATAATTTAATTTGACATATCGGGTGGAGTGTAGAGCTGTATAAGATGTCAAATTGTCACATCAGCCATCAAATTTAAATTTGATGTTTGGTATTTGACATCTCCCTTGGAGATGCTCTTACATAGTTTTACACTCCACTTGATATGCCAAATTAAATTATTATTTTATTACATTTTAGTGTTGATTTATTTTTAATTAAAAAGAAAAGAAAAGAAAAATTCATTTGACATCTTGCTTTTGGGATGTTAAAAATAACATCTCAACCTCCAGCCTTCATTCCACATCGGTTGGAGTGATGTGAGATGCTATATCTAGCCGTTAAATGTCTATGTGGCACTGTTGACATATCAGTTGGAGATGCTCTAATAGCATCAACCACAAAAATCGAGCCATCCCTAAACACTGCCAAACAAAAACCGTACAAAATTCAATCAGACATAAAATTTTCTGGACAAAGTTGATACCTTTAGGCCTGAGGAACATCCCAGCCCAAATGCACTCTCTTTCGAGGGCGACAATCCAAGTGAATGAAAGGAAACTCCGTCACACGCTCAGTCTCCATGATCGTAGAGGCCCATACTTCTTCGAGAGAGCACGAAGGGAGGGTGCAGGAAGGCGCCTAGCTGGTGAAGGTTTCCAATAATATAGGTAGCTTTGGTGGGGAAGGTGGTAGTTTGAGTGCTTTCCCACTTGATCTAGCAAGTGAAAGCAAAATGTACAGAGAAAGAGAATGGGAAGCAGGAAAAGGTTGCTTTGTAGATGTTGCCATGTTTGATTTAAAAGTGATAATGAAGAGCTGGTGCTCTACTTTTTTGGCTTGGGTAATCTACGGTTTTGCCACTGAATTATACCATAATTATTAATTTATTCTATTACTTTTTTTCCCCGTAAATTAAGAACTTACACTATATGAAATAAGTTGTAATTGTTTTTCCTTGTTTAGTCATTAATATTGACAACAATTTGGATAGACAATGTGCAAGTCACATGATAAAAATTTAAATGGACATCCAAAAAATTGACAACAAGTCTCAAATCGGTCTATTTCATATAGTTTTTATTAATTTTTTATATACATATATATATAAAAAAGGTTCTATGATCATCGCTCTTTTTTCAACCAAAAAAATTGTGTCTATGGGTAATTTGACAATTATAATATAGTTCATGGAACAAAACGGTAGATTACCCTTTACCTTTTGGTTTTGATTACCCACTAGAAATCTGAGTCCTTGTTTAATCTTATAGAGAAATTGTCCAGGCTTGGAAGGCCACAATGATTGAAGCTTACAATCAAACCTGTGCCAAGGGACAACATATTGACGTTTGGGATCCACAAGGATGTCCTCTTGCACCCATGCAATTAAATAGTGCACACAAAGTATACAACATGAAAAACGTTTGCGTAGGTGAGTAGGACAATAATTTATGTGTGGAATGCTTTTGTACCAACCAATACTGTGGGGGAAGCTAGCCCATCCTCCATCGCCATTAAAGCCTTGTTCCAAAGGAGGGAGCTAAGCCTTGCGAAAAATTTACTACTAACACGTAGCATTCCAAATGGCACACTAATTCATCTTACGGTACATTCACGTGGAAATACATACTACTTGTTGGTTCTGAATGGCACATTAATTCATCTTAGAGTACATTTATGTGGAAATACATATTCATTGGGTCATCATGGTCCACTAAGTGATACACTTAAATAGATCATGATGACTCAACAAACGTGATATTTCTATATTGAATACGTGTAATAATATGTACATGTAATAATTTTGTGAACTTTTTGTTAACAATAAGAATATTGTGAACTTTTTGTTAACAATAAGAATATTGTGAACTTTTTGTAAATAATAAGAATATTGTTCAACTTATTAGGTAAAATAATTCGGATCATGTTATTGGATTCGATATCCGATAATCCAACAAATTGAATATGGATCTAGTTGTGAATGATTTGTCAGGTTATCAGATCAGATTGGGTTGATATTTTTTCTAGAGATTTTCTATTTAAACCCCACACTTCTCTTAGTTCACCCCATGTTCTAAGTTCACCCCAACTTTTAATTTAAATTTTCATAATTTCTAAGAAAACCCCACTATCTTCCCAAACTACCCTTAAATACACCCCAAACTAAAAAAATAAAAACTAAAAGAGATTTTCTATTTAAATCCCACAATTTTCTTTGTTCTCAGCAACAAAAAAAAAACACAAACAAATGAAACCACAAATCTGAAATTTAAGGGCCCGTTCGGTAATGTTTTTAGAGCTTGTTTTCTGTTTTTGTTTCCTGTTTTTCACAAAAACACGTTCGGTGCATCGTTTTCGTTTTCCCTCACAAAACGTTTTCTGAAAACAAATCTGACTTTGTGAACAAAAGTTGAAAATGAAAAAAAGTTGTTTTCAGTGATTTCATTTTCAGTGTTTTCCGAAGACACAAGAATGCATCCCATCAACAACTCTAGCTCTCTCTCTTGACAACCAATAAACCCACCAACAGGAACAACACCCATCTTCTCCAACCCAAAATAAACAAATCTGCAAATTAAGAAAAAAAAATACAGAGGAAGAAGAAGAAAAAAAAACAGAGACAAGAAGAAGAACCACCACATACCCAACTCAACCACCATCATCACCCAATCAAACCATCACAGCCATGGAAGGAAGGAGGAGTGGGTGTGGCCTGGGAAGGAAAGGAAGAAGAAAAGAGGAAGAAAAGGAGAAAAAAGAAACGGCCTGGGGAAGGAAAGGAAGAAGAAAAGGGGAAGAAAGTAGGAAAGAGGAAGAAAAAGAGAAAAAAGAAGCAGCCATGTGAAGGAAAAGAAGAAGAAAAAAGGAGGAAAGAGAGAAAAGGAGAAAAAGAAGAAAAAGAAAAAAAGGAAAAAAAGGAGATAAGGTAGTTTTTGAGCTTAATTTTTTTTTCATTGTTTACAATAATTTTAGCCTCTAAAAATATCAGAATTAAAAAAAATTAGAACTAAAATTAGCAAAAATACACCTGAAAAACAATTGTACTACCAGACACGTTTTCATTGTTTTTGTTTTCTAAAGATGTTTTCTAATTAATCTACCAGACGCATTTTCATTTCCTGAAAATGCAAATTTGTTTTCTTGTTTTCATTCTCTGAAAATATTCTCAGAAAACATTCTCCGAAAACGTTACCAGACGGGCCCTAATATTTTCTAGAGAAAAAGAACAACTTTACCTCTCTCCAAGAACTGTAACTGGAATTATAACACTTGGGTATTGTTGAGTTGAGAGAGAGAGAGAGAGAGTTTGTAAACAGGAAGTTGGAAGGAGGTTTTTAAAACTTAATATAAAGAGTGGTGGGGTGTGTGTATAGATGTACTATGGTTAATTATTAAGTTGGATGACTTTTTTGTCTTTTTATACAATAATAAAACTTACAGCTTAATTATTTAAGTATTGGGGTGAACAAAGAGAAGTGCGGGGTTTAAATAGAATATGGATCTAGTTGTGAATGATTTGTCAGGTTATCGGATCAGATTGGGTTGATATTTTTTCTATCCGATCGGATTAGATATATGGTGATATGATCCATCTCCGAGCTATTTACAACTCTAAACTCATCACATATATATTACTCCAAAGACGGTAATAACTCAATGAATGCGATATTTTTTATATATCTATTTATACTGACTATGTAAATATACCGTAACCCTTCGTCATGATAAATGAATGTAAAGTAAGGTTTTGAAAACTAAAAACAAAAGTTGTTTTAAAAATTAAGGTTGATTTTGAAAACTACATTTTACTTTTTTTGAAAATTAAAAACAAAAACCGTTACCAAATATGGTTTTAATTTTCATTTTAAAAAATAAAA